CAATCAATAAAACGAAACAAAGCAACAAATATAATACAATAAACAATTATGCACAACAAATCAATATCAATATAGTAAAAAATTGAAAAACAATATGAAAAAAAAAAACACGATAAAACGTATTATAGATAGTTTTGCGTTTCTTCAGTTGCTATTAGCGAACGCGTCGCTCCGCCAGTTGTTGTTCTCCTGCAGGAACATTTTTGATGCAGGAGCCGTTTTATGATGCGTTTTTGCTTGCAGAGCTATGGTTCTGCTACAGCGAGTAAAAACGCATATTGTAGAAAGGTCGTAATGTATTTGTGTTCGGAAGCGAGTGTCACCCACTTCCACCCCAGCAACCAAAAAAGCTGGGAGGCTGAAATTTTGGTTATTCAAGGGTAAGCAAAAATGCGATTAGAAAAGGTAAAAAGAGGTAATGAAGTAAATGAAAAGAATGAACAAGTGAAAATACAAATGGAAATAATAAATTAGGTAAGAAATGTTTCGATCCATTAAGTCGCATACATTTCTTACCTTTACCACAGTTGGACCTCGTCAGTACGACGGCTGTGGTAACTATATTTTTGGTAAAATTGAAGAATGATTAAAGTAAAAGGTAAAAAGTAAAAAGAATTAAGTGATGATAATGATTTTGAAATAGAATAGAAGTATTAAAGCGAAAGTAAAAATAAAATATACCTTCCTACTCCGTGTGTCGCCCTCCCGCTTTAAAATTTTGGCTCATACGCTCCTAGACCTCGCGTACGGACCCCCGAAAAAAATAAGCAATTTTCACTGGCGGAAAACGATTCCCCGAACTAAGCAAACTACAAAGCTGAAACTGTGTAGGGATATCCTCTGTGCATGTGTAAGTTAAAGACTTCAAATTCAGCTGTCATGCATGCTTGTGCAGCACGTACGATCTCTCAGAGTTTGCATCTTGGGACTGTGCTAAATCAGGAAAACAGTAACAGAAATTTTGTCAACATGTTTGTTGCCCGTATGGGAAATAGTGTACCCAAAATGAGTACCGAACTGCAACTGCGCCACGACTTAGGGGACTTTAAAGATATTTCTAGCGAAGTGGATATTTCGTTTACCGGATAAGATGCGAGACTGAAATTTCGCTTGGATATTCTACTTTCAAGTGCAGTTTTAACTCTACTTAGAAGTGAAATTCTCCGCAGGGGGCTTGAAAAATACTAAACTTCACCGCAAACCCAGAAACAAGTGCATTTTGCAGCAAACGATCATCCTCATCCCCTCCTAACAACTCTACTTCACGTTCCAACTTCCCGTCTTTTCCTTCCTTTCTCACATTATTTGCTCCTTCACTCACACCTATTTCTTCCTGTCACCCG